CCGTGACCGCGGAGACATGCCGACGATCATGCCGTGACCGCGAGTCATACCGACGATCACGCCGTGACCGTGGAGTCTTACCGACGATCGCGCCGTGACCGCAGGTCATACCGACCGCGGAGTCCTATCGACAATCGCGCCGTGACCGTGGAGTCCTACCGACGATCATGCCGTGCCGCGAGTCATACCGGCGATCACCCCGTGACCACGGAGTCATACCGATGATCACGACGTGACCGTGGAGTCCTACCGACGATAGCGCCGAGACCGCGAGTCTTACCGACGATCGCGCCGTGACCGCGAGTCATACCGACGATCGCGCCGTGACCGTGAAGTCTTACCGACAATCGCGCCGTGACCGTGAGTCATACCGGCGATCACCCCGTGACCGCGGAGTCATACCGACGATCACGATGTGACCGTGGAGTCCTACCAACGATCGCGCCGTGACCGCGAGTCATACCGACGATCGCGCCGTGACCGTGGAGTCCTACCGACGATCATGCCGTGACCGCGAGTCATGCCGACGATCACGACGTGACCGTGGAGTCCTACCAACGATCGCGCCTTGACCGCAAGTCATACCGACGATAGCGCCCTGTGACCGCGGAGTCCTATCGACGATCGCGCCGTGACCGTGGAGTCCTACCGACGATCATGCCGTGACCGCGAGTCATACCGGCGATCACCCCGTGACCGCGAGTCATACCGACGATCGCGCCGTAACCGCGGAGTCATGCCGACGATCACGCCGTGACCACGGAGTCATGCCTACGATCATGCGGTGACTGCGAGGCATACCGGCGATAGCTCCGTGACCGCGGAGTCATACCGACGATCACGACGTGACCGTGGAGTCCCACCCACGAACGCGCCGTGACCATGAGTCATACCATTGACTATACTAACGAACATGCCGTGACCGCGAGTCATACCGACGATCACCCCGTGACCTCGGTCATTTTGACGATCGCACCGTGACCGCGAGTCACAAGTTTCCATAGGTACCTGTATATTGTTACCCATTTTTTTTGTTTTTATAGATCAGTACCACAAACGGTAAAAATTGATTTTGTAAGTCTTTTTTTTGGTAACTGCAATACTCAAGACTTTCTTTTTATGCACAGAAAAAATCCCGTCCCGTCCCGTCCCGAAAATTGGGAAGGAAATAAAAATCCCGTCCCGTCCCGTCCCGAACTAAAAATTCAATCCCGTCCATCCCTAAAAAATAGTAAGTTCAGATCAAGTCAAAGCCAGTCCAGTAAACAGCATAGTAACTCACCCCACAATGACATCTACTGCTGGTATCATAATCGTTATAAGCGAGTTGTTGTCCAAGCTGTCCAGCTTGTCCAGCTGTTGTCAGAAATTAAATATTAATAATTGGTCTCCATGGAAGCATGAGAAAATTCACAATGTTTACATTTGCTTTAACATTTAATTGTAAACAACCAGAACTGTCAAATGCCTATTTCACAATTTCAGACAGCGGATCCAAAAAAATAAAACAACTATGTAGTAGGGACTTGGGTTTATTTAATCTTAAACTTTATGATGGATTATTTATTATACATTTATTTCAATGATTATGAAACAGATTTTTCCCGTTGCGAAGCAAAAATTAAAAGTGAGAAGAAGAACATATGTTAATTGTAAACACTCAATGTGTAAATTACCTATGTTGTATCACAAATAATATTTTTGGTTGTTCTAACACCCTACCTCTTCCAATCACCATCACGTCACTCTTTTCCTTACTTATTCTTGGTCCCCTCTCTCATAACCTCCGCCCATTTATTCAGTTGTCTTTGTAACTCTCCTTAATTTATGTATAGTTTTGGATGTCGGTTTGTGTTTAATGATATAAGTTATTAGTTATAGAATTTTTATTTTAAGGATTTGGCATATGAGTATGCCTATGATAAATAACACCATTTCAGAGTTCTGCCAGTTTTTGCCTAACTCAGTTCTGTAGTTTAAAGTAGCCTACACCTTATTGTCTACAAATTGGCTAAATAACTTAGGTACGGTACATTATAAAAGCTGACAGCCTTTTTACATTGACTTAAATTGTAAGCTTACCTTTTCCCATCCACGGGCAGTTTGATAGTTAAAAATTAACCCTTTAAACTGGAATAGGACTGTTATGTAAATTGTGAGTATTTCCATTAGTTAATAATCTTTTAGTCGACTATTTTAAAATCATCGGAAATTATGACTGTTATTAGTTTAACATAATTTTCTCATGCTTCCATGGAGACCAATTATTAATATTTAATTTCTGACAACAGCTGGAGTTTCAAAACAATTTTTGTTTCCCATGTTAAGTTTTTTGTTTAAATAACTGTACTTCTTTGCAATTGCTCGATTTCGAGCAACATGTACACTAGTAAAATATTACTGAGCAAATATTTATCACTTTGCATTTTAATAATTATACAACAAAATTATCGTCCTTGGAAATGGGCTTGTAGAGATTGTTATGCTGAAGTCACAGTTGTGACTTGTGATGGTTATTGTATGAAACATGAAATAAAACAACAGAATACCATTATTTATTTGGTTGAGGTTACAGATTATTTATATGTTTATTTAATATTTGAATGCTTGAATTTACTCATTAGTATCGAGCCGGGCTTGAATACTAAATTATTCGTTCAACCATTCGAACTTTGGAATATTCGCACACCCCCAACCTTAACCAATCTGCTAGTTTTTGCCTAATTTAATAATGCAATAATTTTATTTTTAATAGGGGTCTGCGGTACAGAAAATTTAAGGTCGGTACGGTACAATATTTTGTACCTCGGTTCTCGGTACAAAATCGGTACGGTACACGGCTACCCGTATTTTTGCGGTTTTCTTCTCAGAACTGTATTTAACCATTATTTTTAACTTTAATACATTGACATTGCTAAGAAAATGGATAGTATCCTACATTAATTGTTTTCTAACAACAATTACTGTACCACACATTATTAAAAGAAAACCTATACTACTACGAGGATTTTGTCAAGAAAAATCACAGTTAAGACAAAGGCTTTACCTATTTTACTCTGAGATACTTTGAGTAGCCATGATAAAGTGGTTTAAAAATAGGATAAGAGTTTTTATGAATAAACATGTTTGAAACATTTATTGGCAAGATAATTTCACAAAACTGGTAAATTATTTCCAACAAACACATTTTCTAGTTGTTTTTTTAAATTTTTAAAAACATATAAAAGCATTCAGTACGAAGACAATGTAGTTTTGCCAGCTGTTCACAGCAATCGACAATGAAAAACTGGAGGTTATGATGAAGTAATGGCAAAGAGCATCTTTTTTTATCAGCTTCAAAACTAGTTATAAGATGGATACAACTTTTGCAAAGTTTTTTTCTGAAACTAAAATTTGGATTATCACAGAGTAAGATTATTGTCTTTTCATTTACACAAGTTAACATCCACAATATCAATCATATCAATCATTAGTTTATCTCAGGCTCAATCCAATTTTCTTAGTATATTTTAAAGCTCTTCCAAAGAATCAAAAGACCCAGGCCTAGACCTAATTATTTAGAAGGGCCTGTATATAAATTGATTAGGTTACAATGAGGGTAGCAAAATCACTATCTAGTTCATAAGATTTAGATTGCATAAAGTACCTTCAACACAATAAAAAATACAGGAAACTAAAAAAATATTTAAGCCTTAAACAGCCACATCTAACAATATAAGACAAGATACAGAACATGCAATGACATAATTTGAGACCGAGTAGGCTTGCATAACGAAAAAAAAAATGCAAACAACAACTATGCTTGTGGTTTCGTCAATAGAAAGATAAAATATCCATAACACATATTTTAACTTGTAAAATAAGATTGTAGATTAGTTACAAGTTTAATATGTAGCCATAAACAGTTTTATGGCAGTAGGCAATGGCCAGCGGCAAATTAAATATTCACGAAAATACTAACTCAGTTAGAGATAACATTTAACAGTCATCATAAAACTATTATTTTTATGATAAAACAGAATTGGGGAAAGTCGTAAAGAAATAAAAGTGATAAAACTCAACAGTTCTTGGAAGTACTTGAATACAACAATTATTGTCGTGATAAAATGTTCATCTATTTGGGACTGCTAATGGGTTTTTATTGCATCTTCACCCTAGTAATAAATTATGAAGATCGTAAACAAACATCTGATAAGACTTTTATGTGCTCGGAACCAACTGCCGTTGACTACGATAGTAAACTGAAAGTAATTTATTATTATAATAGGCTGTACTAAACCGAATTTGTACCGTGTAAAATGCTGTACCGAACCGATGACGGTAATTAAGCTTGTACTGTACCGACTTTCTCAGTGCACCGCACCGCAGACCCCTAATTTTTAATGTTTTATAGTTTTAAGCTCCATAATTTCAGATGATAAGTATCACCAGGAGATAGCTTTCATTCTTAGGGAGTAAATTTATACTGAATCTTCAGTCAGAAATATAATTATTTGGGAAAACTCGAAACTAAAAATCAAATAATGACTCCTGTGCATTTTACTACTTTTCATCAATCCTTATAAATATTGTGTTTACAGTTGTTTACAGTCCAAGATGTCAGCAAGTTTATTTATAAATTAGTTTGTACATTTTTATTTAACTAAATTCAAGGTTACAAAAACATTTGTAAGGATATTTTGTAATATGTACTAGGTAAACATAGATATTAACTGTTCTCTCTTTTGTAGAGAATTTTTCATTCTCTTTTGGTTTTTAACATAGTTTTTTATTGTGATGACATGCTTAGTGATGTTAAATAATTTTATTTCATGTAAGAAGAATAGGCCTGTTCAAATTTTTATTTCAAACATAATCATATTATCAAGTAATACCTATCATACAAATAAATTTAATAGTTTGGCAATTTCAGGACAGTCAAGTTTGTTGTGATAGGGATTTTAATTTTTCCTCCAAAATCATTCTTCATTATAAGATGCTAATAATTATTAATGATCAAGGTGGAAAACTGATTCATCTGGGAAAACCACTTCTAGTTCGATTCACAGGCCAAAGGAAGAAAATTGTAATCTCCGCTCGGGACCCTCTACTTTTAGCTTAAGCTCAAGGTGTGAAAAATTCTATGTCTGTAGATTGAACCAATGTGGTTTTTTCTAGAAAATGTTGAAAATTGGTTCATGATACACTCATGAAAGTTACTTGTCACTTAATTTCAGTGTAATGAAAAAAATATTAGTGGACATAGTGGCTCTAATAATGTGTGTGAGCGTGAACCGATAATAATTTGTTAAAATTGTGTCCCAAACCAATAATACAGCAATCTATATATTGGTGGCCATTTAATGACTTATATACAGTTAAGCTCAGATAACTTATCAATATTGTAACTTACTTTTTAATACTTTGTACATCAGGAAAAATAATTAGAATAAAATAAACGGTATCAGCATTCTGACACATACTTTCTCCCATAAGCTTGTCAACAACCTTTATCATGGGTAAGCGGTGAGAGTAAATATGATATTTTATAGTTAAAAAATCACAAAAGTTACTATAACTTTTGAACCGTAATTTTTACGGAAATGGGATTTGTACTATTTTGATCAGTATTTAAAGGGCTATAAAATACTAACATTTTTAGAAAATTGTTTTGGGCCGTTCATCGAGAAAATCTGATTTTTTCGTTATTTTATGAGGTTTTTATTGGAACCCACTACAAATCTAAATTTTAAAAAAAAATTAAAAACTTTCAAAACTTTTAGGACCATAACATACTAAGTTAAATCAAAACCGGCTTTTTTTTAAATCCTATTTTTCGTTATTTGATGGGGTTTTTATGGGAAAATAACATAATTTACAATAACTTTTGAACCGTAATTTTTACAAAAATGGGAGTCGTACCATTTTGTTCAAAATTTAAAGGGCTACAACATAAATTTTTATCAAAATTGTTCATGCTACTTTTGAGAAAATTCAATTTTTCCCTTTATTTTATGGGTTTTTATGGGAATATCCACAATTCGTGACCTCCTAGTAGCTGGATTACAGGACGACGCCTTTATTATTATTAATAATAGGTATAGGGGGAGAAAGTAAAAAGTAAGCTATAGCTACGCGCGCACTACGGCGGCACGGACGGGCAGTACGGCACGGACGGCAATTTTAAGAGGGGGTGGGTGCACTAGGGCGGCACGGCACGAACAGATGGGACGGGAGATCCGCACATCCGCAATTTAGGACAGTTGACAGTCTGTGAGCTAAAACTTGTGATATTTATAGGCATGCACTGTGGATGTGGTAGTCCCTGGTGTGGATTAACGTCCGCACGAGTGAGTACTGCGACTATCCGCAGTACTATCCTGATAATTAGACCAATTCGTATATACCAAGGAAAAATGTGGTTCGGATTCCAATATAAACTGTAGGTCCCTTAGTTGCCATTAGCTGTATGGGCTAAATTAACAGCTGTGTCTAAGGAATGTTGGCCTTAGTCACTAACAAGACTACAAGATCGCGCCACTCATCCTACACTCATCTCCATTCATACTTGGCTTAAAATACCTACTATGTATGGTTGCCATTTCATTGAACAGTATTAACAGTATTAACCATTAGTATATGGAGAAAGTAATGTTTTCGTCAACATTTTTGAGTTTGAGTTTTGAGTGGATATATCCGTTTTGGGTACCCCTGGATCCAAAAAAGTGGTTTTCAAAGTGATGTCTGTGTGTCTGGGTGTATACAGAGCTAGGGACTACACCTGTGGTTCGATTTCAATGACATTTGGTTTGGTGTAAAAAATAGGTTCTAATCCATGGTATCTCCAGGCAATTTTTTCATTTTTCTGAAATTTTGATTTTTAATGTTTATTTTAACTATTTCCTCCCTCCCCGCACGTCCCTCAGCCGTAGCGGCCTAGCGGCCTCAGCCAGATATCTGTAGTAGGGGTTATATTATCTGTGGTTTCGCACATCGAGAGTTACGAGTAGCACAACCCTACGAGAGTAGTGGTTAAAATCTTCAGCTCTCATCACGGCTTGCTTCACCTCCTCAACAGCGTCAACCGTAGATCGCCCCATCCTGAATCCATAGTGGCGAGGGGACAGGTCCCCCGCAGCGACCACGGCTGAATTCAGTCGGGAACGGATCAACTTCTCGAGAACTTTGCCAGCCGTATCCAGCATACACAGAGGTCTGTAAGAGGATGGCAGGTCTGGGTCTCCCTTCCCCTTCCCAACAAGCACAAGCCTAGCAGTTTTCCAGCACGAGGGGAAATCCAGCTCAGGAATTCCAGCTAGTAGTCGGGGAAATCGGGAAAGTCAGGTATTAGTGTTGAATTTCAAAATGGTCTTGAAAAGTTTGGATTTAGTCTTTATGTTATATCAGTCGGGAAATTTAATGATTTTACCGCGATCGTGCTAGACAACGATCACGTTTCCGTGACGGCGCAAGACGATGATGATGTCTACACGACCGCGGTGGAGGAAGTGGTGAAAGAAGTAGTCAAGGCGAGCTGTCCGGAGTGTGGGAACTGTTTATGACGATTAGATTAAGGTATCTGCAATAATAAAATGCTATTGGAAGGGAAGGAAACAGGTCCACGACGTAGGAAGTGGTGAAGGAAGTAGTAAAGGCGAGCTGTTCGGGGTATGGGATCTGTTTATGACGATTAGATTAAGGTATCTACAATCCTAAAATGCTATGGGAAGGGAGGAAAACAAGCCCGCGATGTAGGAAGTGGTGAAGGAAGTAGTCAAGGCGAACTGACCGGAGTGTAGGAACTGTTTATGACGATAAGATGAAGGTATCTGCAATTCTAAAATGCTATAGAAAGGGAGGGAAACAGGTCCGTGACGTAGGAAGTGGTGAAGGAAGTACTCAAGGCAAGCAGTCCGGACTGTGGGAACTGTTTGTGACGGTTAGATTAAGGTATCTACAATGCTAAAATGCTATGGGAAGGAAGGAAAACAGGTCCGCAATGTAGGAAGTGGTGAAGGAAGCAGTCAAGGCGAACTGACCGGCGTGTAGAAACTGTTTATGACGATTAGATTAAGGTATCTGCAATCCTAAAATGCTATAAAAAGAGAGGGAAACAGTTCCGTGACGTAGGAAGTGGTGAAGGAAGTAGTCAAGGCGAGCTGTCCGGAGTGTGGGATCTGTTTATGGCCAATACATTAAGGTATTTGCAATCCAATGATGCTAAGGGAAGGGAGGGAAACAGTTCCGTGACGTAGGAAGTTGTGAAGGAAGTAGTAAAAGCGAGCAGTCCGGAATGTGGGAACTTTTTATGACGATTAGATTAAAGGATCTGCAATCCTAAAATGCTATGTGAAGGAAGGAAAATAGGTCCGAGACGTAGGAAGTGGTTAAGGAAGTAGTCAATGTGAGCATAATGTGAGAACTGTCTGTGGCAGTTAGATTAATGTATCTTCAATCCTAAAATGCTATGAGAAGGGAAGGAAACAGGCCCCACGACGTAGGAAGAGGTGAAGGAAGTAGTATAGGCTGGCTGTGCAGAGTGCGGGAACCGTTTGGGCAGTTAGATAAATGTATCTGTAATACTTAAATGCTATTAGAAGGGAAGGAAACAGGTCTATAGGAAATGGTGAAGGAAGTAGTAAGGCTAACAGTGCAGAGTGTGGAACTGTCTTTGGCAATTATATTAATGTATTTGCAATCCTAAAATGCTATGGGAAGAGAGGAAAACAGGTCCACGACGTAGGGGGTGGTGAAACTGGTGAAAGAAGTAGTAAAGGTGAACAGTGTTGAGTGTGGGAATGGATTAATGTATCTGCAATGCTAAAATGCTATGGGAAGAGACTGTAGACTGAAGGTTAAAATGATTACGAAGCACGAATCGGTACATCTTTTCGATACATGCAATCATTTGAAATCAAAATTTACAACAAATTTACAACATCTGATTTTTACTCCATAGAGGCTAAAAACGATTTTTACTCCCAAAAGAGTAAAAATGCTACTTAAGACCCGCAACGCATGCATTAAAAACGACTGTTTTTACTGCAGTACGACAAAAACAATATAATATGAACCGTTGATGGCTCCGCTCAATTTTGTGGATGTCTCTGCGAACGCCACCTAGTATTTAATTTCTTTGTATCAGCTGTCTGAAATTGTGAAATATGCAGTTTAGCAGTTCTTCTTGTTTACATTTAATGTCAAAGCAAATGTAAACAAACATTGTTAGTGTTCTCATCGCAGCCATGGAGACCAATCAATATTTACTTTTAAAATGTTCACCTCAGAACTTTTAAAGCCAAAGGGGCAAAGCCTACGTTTAGTATCGAAATGTGAATAGTCGTATAATGTTCCTTGGTATGGTAACTATATTTTTGTAAAATTTAAGCCCAGTTGGTGCAGTAGTTTTTGCACCTATTAGTAACACACATACAGACAGACACCATTAGATTTTTATATAATAGTATAGATATAGATTGTGCATTGGCCATTGTCAGTTATTGAACCAACATCTAGAAAACTAAAGAATCACAAGATTTACGATCAGTGCTTGTAAATTGTTACTTTTATTTCATTCTGCTAAACTTATATGTAGCCTGTGTGTAACAATCAGGTACCAGTTTTTTCTTCTTCTAATTAAAGTTATGATTGTGAAGTGTTAACGAAAAACTCAATATTTAGTTACATGCAAAGCCCTATGAGATTCAAAGAGATAAGACATAGATGAGACAGGAGGTGTAAATAACCCTTGTAGGTTTTTCTTAATTCCACCTTAGAGCTATGCTTGCACTTTCCTCTTATTTTTTTTTAAATAATTTATGCTGATAATTTGTAGTTCTATAGATAATTCACCTGCATGTTATGGTTGGTCCTTTCCTTACTAATGTGTTTGTGGGTCGCAATGACAAAAGTAAACTCTATTGAAATGTTTATTATGCATGAGTAAATTTGATAATAGTCATGTTGAGTCAAACTTAGACCATATATTTATGTTAGCACTTAGCACACACACTTGTAAATACAGTAGAACCTCCATAGTTCCACACTTTCTGGACTTAAGTGGTGTCGAACTATCGAAAAGGTGAACTATAATAGTCCAGTGAAGTCTGTTAACTTACAAACGGTCCGG